AGGCCACGGTCTGCTCGCTGAGGCCGACATCACTGTGGACATGCCGCGTCGGCGGGCGCGGGCCCTTGAGGAAAGTGTGAAGTCAGGGCTGGAGGAAGCAGAGAGGTGGCAGGTAATGACCCTTGACCTCTCGGACGTGTGGCTCCTCCCTGACGGCCTGTGCTGTGTCCCATTTCCTGTGCCCCCACCAGGTGCCATCTCAGGACCCTCACCCCACAGCGACATGTGTGCAGAGGACCGTGGTGGGGGCCCTGGAGGAGGAAGCTGGCTCTGTACGCAGAGGGGAGGGGGCAGAGGCTTCCCCCGTCTGAAGGGCTCCCTGAAGCGAGGCAGGAGCAGTGCGGCCAGTGAGGGTCGCGATTGGACACAGTTATGTGTCATCCGTGCGCTCTCTGTGTCCTGACAGGGAAGCGCGTCCAGGCGGGTGGACTGTCCCTCAGCCAGGGGACCAAGCCCGGCAGTGAGGCGCCCAGAGACCAGGTGGGGAAGAGGATGGGAAAGGAACCGCGGCAGCTTCCTCTCCTGCTTCACCTGAAAACTCCGTCTCCCCTGGAGCGAGGCTGCAGGAGGACAGACAGGAATGCTCCCAGGGCGTCTCCCAGCTGGGTGTGTGCCCTGCTGCGGGGATTCTGTGGGTCAGTTGGTCACTCGGGGCCGGTGACTTGGGCTGGACAGCGGTAAGACCTTGTTCAGGTCTCAAGAGTGAATAGAGAAAACAGACGAGAGCAGCCACAGACACTGAGCAGCCGGCCCGGGCGAGGCCTTGCGACGCCGTCGCAGAGGGGCCGGCGGGTCGGAGCCCGGTGGTGTCCTGGGCGGCGGACTGTTTCCTGAAACCTCGCGTGGGGGCTGCTGTCGCGTGAGCGGGTCTGTGGCACTGGCGTGTGCGGTCGGTAGGCACACGGTGCGGTTTCCTCTTTTCAAAGCCAGAGCGGGCTCTGCCCTGTGCTGAGTGTAGCCTAGAGGGGCATCGGACGGCCAGGGCTGGGCGCCGTTGAGCCTGGATTGGCGACGGGGACGCGGGAGAGGACGCCAGTGCGTGGCAGGGCGGCTGGTGGTGGAGGAAAGACAGGCTCTCTCTTTCCTGGCTCTTTTCGTCTCTCTCTTTCAATCTTCCCTTTTAACGCTACTCCTCACCTTCTCTACCTGGCCCCGGCGCACCTTCCGCCTGGACAGCTGACTGTGGGCCCCTGGTGGCCGCAGACGGGACACGTCCTGAAGCCATGCTCACAGGGCAGCGATTTCCACCCGGGTGCTGAGGGCCTTGGCTCTGTCGTCCGGGCCCTGACCCCTTTTGCCTGAAATTGTCAAATAAAGAATGACAACAGCCAGTGCAGCAATAGCCCTCTGGTATAAGTGAATCAAAGTTACTATTTTTGGGGGGTCAGATTGGCAAAAAAGAGAATATATTTTTGGCTGTGCTGCAGAATTTTAGCAGTTTATGTACCATGAGATGAACAAGGTTGAAAATCGCTGTCCTAAGGGAATGCCGGCTTGGGTGCCTCTTCTGGGCTGTTGGAACCATAGATTTTAAGAAAGGTTCTTCCTGCTTTAATCCTGGGTTTGTGTTTTGTTCAGTCCTTCAGGTTCCCGCCCTTCGACACCTAAAAGCGATTCCGAGTTGGTCAGCAAGTCGGCGGACAGAACGGCGCAGAAGAGCAACCTGGAGATGCTGTGGCTCTGGGGGGAGCTGCCCCAGGCCGCCAAGGTGTGTCCCCCGTTCCGCCCCACAGCGAGCCCGCCCCTAAAGACTGGAGACGGACACTGTTTCCCTCCAAGAAACTTTACTTCACAGGCCAATGTATTTTAAGAATCTGGAATTATTATGTTTGCAGCTGCGTGTGTTTTGCAAAAAGGATTTTAAGGCCCTAGGACGATGCCACGGCCTCTCGTATCCCCAGTAAATGTTTGTGACCCGAACGAATGAGCGGGGAGTGAGTGGGGGCTGGGCCTTCCTGTTGAGACACAGGATGGGCAGCTGTGTGGAGAGCAGGCTGCTGGGCTGGCCCTGGTCCATGCCCTCGGTGGGTTATATTTAGCTGTCGTCACGGGAAGTGCTGATTCCGCTGCCTGCAAACTGCTGACCCAGGCAGCGTCCCCCCCTCCCCCCCAAAGCCCACGTCACTGGTTGCTGGGGAGACGGCGTGGAAGTGCAGACCCATTGCTTCTGGAAAGCGGGTCCAAGCACAGGCCCCAGCAGCCGAGCTCAGATGCAGGGTTGA